GAGAGAGAGAGAGAGAGAGAGAGAGAGAGAGAGAGAGAGAGAGAGAGTAAACAACTTCCAAAGGCAGCAAAAAATGTAGATATTAGATAGTCTCCTTCACCCAAGACAGCAAAGCAATCGCACCTAGTACTTAATTAGACTCCTCAGCAGAAATGGACCGAATGCATGTACGTGTTTTTTGAAATCATTGCGAAGCTGGTGCCACCGGGACAAGTCGTCAAACAGTACGATACCAGCCCATGATGTGCATTTCTGCATGGAAGACACACATGAGGCAACCTTTTCAAAAAATGACAAATGGCAAAAACATGAGACTCCTTTGGTTAACACACACACACACACACACACACACACACACACACACACACACACACACACATCTGTTCCTACGGGTTATCGGTTCAAGTCCGATAGTGAGCATACTCGCTTGGTGAAAATGGTAAACACGACAGACTAAAACACTTCGTCGGTTCGAGCGAGTCGGGACCACGGCGAATATAACTTAATAGGTCAAAGTGTCAGATTGTGAATTTGAAAACACGGGTTCAACTCCCGTTATTCGCCTCTTGCATCTGAATTCTGGCGAGCCTAAATCCAGCCGAAGCTGGCGTCAAGACAGTTATTCATTGACTGAAGTCAATGAATCTAAGTTAATTGATTCACACAAGTTATGGTTTCTGTTTCTCCGTCTGTTTACTTGCTTTTACACCATCAGGCTCAGGGCCACCACGTGGCGCTTCATCCTGTGCGGGCGGTGCTGCTTTTGAAGCAACATACCTACCGTAGCAGAGAAATCCCCTATTGATATTGATTTTGATTTTGATTTTGATTTTGATGTTGCTATTGCTATGAATATTGCTATTGATATTGATATCGCAACTGCTATTGCTAAATCAATAGCTATTGATATTGATATTGACTGATACAGTATTATCGCTTCTCAAAAACACTATCCTACCCCTTATAGAGCATTGGCCGCGGGGGGAGGGGGGATGGTCGGCTGTGCGCCGAATTGAAGTGCAGTTTTTCAAAACAGCCGTGGAGGTGGGGCGATTGATCGCAGGGGGCAGGAGAACCAGGCTGTGCGACAGTGAGTGAGAGGAGAGCAAGAATGAAGTCTGTGAGTGGAGGTCGTGGATGTGCCCGATTATCTAAGCACGCCAATCGTCGGATTGTGTTTTCTTGGTGAGCAGAGGCATCATCGCAATAACACCAGGACTTTTCTACTCAGCTCTGGACGTGATTGGATTCAGATTCATCTCCATGTAGCCCTAATTGCAGTTCGATACATTTAGGCAAGTCACACATAGCTCAGAGCAGAGCTGGGAGTGCGATTGATCCTTTTTTTTTTCGGGGGGG